CTGCCTGACATGTTGCTCAATGGTCACGATACATCTGGAATAGTTTTCATTAAGATTCCCTCACTAAATGCTCTCAGCAAAAATCACGCAAAAATTCATGCGCACCGCTTCTGTTGCGGTTTGCACAAGAATTGAGAATGTTTTGCAAATTCATTCTCGAGTTACACAATGGGGAACCGGTCAAGGGTGGAGAGAGTGACCAGCCGGACAACACAGGTTCTTGTGCGGAATTTAGGCAATCAAGCGCATGGACAGCGTAGAGACACCCTGGAAAGAGCAAGAGCAAGGCTCTAAGATGTTTACTAGGATGATGAGAACAATGGTAGAGGAAAGATGTCCAGCAGTGGAGGAAGTAATGCATACAAAGTAGCAGGCAAGCTTGGAAGGCCTCAAAAATAACCATTGGAGTTGTAACAAAAAAGATTAGGATCATTCTGTATAGAAGTATATAGAAGCCATAGAGCGCGTCTCAAAGCGTTGATTTACCTGAGCGAGACGGCCTGATCTAAGTTAACGAGAAAAGCTGTTTTCACAAATGGAACATAGTGAATGCAGGTGCACATATGTGTGTTTACGCCATGTACGGGGCGGTATTGTGCGCGTCAAGGCAAACGGCACTTCCTTGCCTCTTTTCACTGAACCACGTAGCGACTCGAGGGAAACAATGCCAATTGCAAACGCATCGAGGACCTCCTCATCGTCTTTTCGAGCGACATTCCAGAAGGCAGAATACGGGCGCAGAATGCCTCGAGAAGAAGTCGGTGAAGTGCAGTTGATTAGACTTTTAGCAAGGAAGAAGCTGGGAACTTGTTTTGGTTCGATGAGCACCGGATCCGAGTCTTCACTCAGCAAATGCTGTGTCGTCACTTCGGGTGCAGATCGTAACAGGGGCAACGCTTTCATTAGATGAAGACATCGAGAGCTGTGAGCCGCGGTAAATGCCGTGGTAAACAAACAGTGCGCTTGTAGGGAAGCAGATTAGGACATCAATACTTCCGCGAGGCTCACTTTCACCATGTAAAAGCTAGAGCATACGAAAACATTGGGAAGACATAATACAGTGCAACTCCAGACTCTTGCAGAAAGCCGAATGCGGCGGTTTTCTTTCGTCGCGACGTATTTATCGTGACAAAAGCGTTTTAATATAAGTTTTCATATAGTAATTTTTGAAAGATAGCGAGTAATTTGAGGAGCTGCTGAAACTCAAAAATCTCTATTGCAGCTGCTGCAATGAATGACTTGCAGTGCGATACCTTCCATACATCTCATTATGTATAGTCGAGTCATTTGCAACAGAACATGCGTATTGCACATCATGCGCGCTACTTGACGACTT